GGAAGGAAGGAAGGAAGGAAGGAAGGAAGGAAGGAAGGAAGGAAGGAAGGAAGGAAGGAAGGAAGGAAGGAAGGAAGGAAGGAAGGAAGGAAGGAGAAAATGTAGCTTTTTAAATTTTTTCGCCCTCTCTCCCTCCCTGGAAATCTAGTGTGTTATTTAAACATTGAAGGTTTCTAAAGGCATAAGAAAACAATTCAGAATAAGTTAAAATAGGAAACAGATTTAAAAAGAAAAGAAATAACTCCAAAGTCAGCTTTAGGCTTCCACTAAAATATCATTGTGCTGCTTCTCTGTTTCCGGAGTGCTATATTTTACTAAGGAGTTTTCAGCATTTATAAAACCCCCTGAAATTTCGAACATCTGTCACAAGAGGGTCTATATGAGAAACCGCCTCCCTCTCTGTGGCAACGGGTCTTTCCCGTCTCGCTGTTTCCGAGGCGGTGGAAATGGGCCCTTTCCCTTCCCCCTGCCACTCTGCGGGCAGTCGGTGGAGCCGCCGCTCCGTGCCCAGCCCGCGACTCGGCCAGGGGCTCGGGTTCGGGTTCGGCCCCGCGTGGGCAGGAGCCGCGCTCGGCGGGCGGGGAGCGCGCGGGGCCGTCACCGCGCGGGGCTCCCGGTGGCACCCAGGGCTCCCCGAAGCGCAGCGCACCAACGCGCTCAGGACACTGATGCCCCCGTTTACGTCGCAAACACATCCGGGCGCCGCCAGGCGAATCCGCTCGGCTGGTGAGTCAGCCGGGAGCGGCGATTCCCACGCGCCAAAGAAACCAGTAACCGCGCCTGCAGGCGAGCAGAGCTCCGGGGCCCGGCAGCCCCTTGTTGGTCTTGTTGGGAGAGTGATCCTGCCCTCAGCTGCCAGACCTCCGCTCACATTCGACACCGGAGCGGGGAGCAGCCCCCCCGCTGCGGCTGCTCCGCCCGTGCAGCGGCGGCGGGGCCGGCCCGGGGCAGCGCAGCGCGGCCGGCGGCACCGGGCCGGCCCCGGTCCAGCTCCTCAGCGCGGCCGGTGGCGACAGCGCAGCTGAAGGGAGCGGGTCCGCAGGGCAGGTCGGAGCGCAGGCCCCGCGGCGGGCAGGAGCGCACGGAGCCTCCTCGCAGCTCAGCCTGGCCAGGCCCGGCCTGCGGCGGCCGGAGCAGCGCCGGGCACAGCGCGGGGGTCGCGGCCCGGCCCGGCTCGGCTGCTCCCCCCAGCTCTGCACAGGGCACACGAGGCGCCCGGCACGGCAGAGTCCGGGAGGCTCCCGCGGGGGGAACCTGCCTCTTGCATTGACTATAGAAGGAGGCCGAGCCAGCCCCGGCGGAGCAGGCCGCGCGGCCCCGCGTTCAGCCGCATCCCGCGGGAAAGGCGGCCCCGTCCCCTCCACCGTGGGAGCCACCCGGGTCGGCGGAGCCGCCTCTGCGCCCGCGAGGGGGGCTCGGGGCTCGCCCGCTGCCCGCCCTGCCCGGGGCCGGCCCGGCACCGGCAGCAGCAGAGCCGGGCGCCGCAGGCTGCCGTGGGCGCCGGCCCCGCGGGCACTGGGCCTCGCTGGAGGTGCCGCTGGAGCAGAGCTCTGCGCTGCTCTCCCACAGCCGCAGGAGCTGCGGCCTTTTTCATCCCCTCCTCTTCAGAGCCCTTTGTTGCTCTGTAATCCTTGGAGCGATGTAGTCCTGCTGCCTTGTGCTCTCTGTGCATTTGTGCTGCCCCAAGAGGGAGGAGGTTGCATGAAAAAGGAGAGAGGAGCTGCTGCTCTTCCCCCTGCTGCCCTCTACAGCCCTGCTGCGAGACCTCGCTGCTGCTGGTGCCCATGACCTGGACACGGTAAGGGTTGAGAAAGCACCAGGTTTCCCATGAGGCAGGATGGGGGAAACGGGGCTGGGAGTGGAGACTATCTGTCATCAACCATTAGCTCTCCTTTTGTGAACGTAAACTCAAGCAGTAGCTTGTAAGAAAACTGTAATCTTGGGCTTCTGAACTCTTATGGATTTGGACATTGGCAACTGAGGTCCCACAGTGCCTTGTGGGACCTTCAGGGTTTTGCCTTAGAGTCAGTAGTGTTGGCCAGCAGCACCAGGCTGGTCTCACGTGGGCGAGACGCCAGAGCTGGGGGCAGCTGCTCAGCCCAGCCGAGCGCTGGTGCCCCAAGGGGGAGGCCACGTTGCTGTAACAGCCACAGGTGTCGGGGTTGGGATACTGGGAAACCTCAGTTAAAGCCTCCGATGTGCCCAGGAACACCTGAGTCCTCCCAGCCGGCTCCACAAGGACCCGTGAACGCCACAGACCAAATATTCATGCTCTCTTTGCTTGCGTTTTCATTGAAAACCTCCATATTCCTCCTCATATTTGAACACCTCCACATTCCTTCTGCAGCCAGCCACTGGGAAGGCAGTTACACACACAATGTGAATGTTACACACTTCCAAGTGGAGCATCTTTGATGGTGAAACCGAGGAAGTTCCAGGCAAAGAGTGGTGGTAGGAGAAGCTCTGGGAGATGCAGGTTCAAACTTTCTTCAAGCTTGGGAAAGTCTTAAACCGGCATCCGAAGTTTTCAAAGGAAAATGCCAGCTGATGAGCTACAAGATGCTGCAGTGTTTCCCAGATTTTCCTCATGGTCACCTGGAAATACTCAACCGCGGGAGGGTTGACGAGGATGATGAAGAAGGGGCTGCGTCCCCAAGGCCAGGGCTTGGCCCCATGTCCTTCCTCCTTGTTGAGGCAGTCCCCACTGCCTGCACCCACTGCTAGTCCTCTCCACCACTGACTGCAGGAGGTGCCCGTTACAGAACAGCAGGAGCTCCACAAGTGGCACTGCTCAGCAGGCACAACTCCATCTTATCCTAGATGATCTTTCTGCAGGCGACCTATGGCTGTGCTGGGGACTGAGCCCGTCTCAGTGCTGTGTCCACTAGCTGGTTCTGCCAAATCCGCCTTTTTCATGCCCACATCAAACCCTGGCAGGGGGAGCATCAGGACAGAGGCCTCGGCCTCCAGGCTGTGCTGCAGGGCTCGTGAGATGGGACGACTTGTTCCACTTGTCCCCGTCTTGCCACAGGGCTGATCCAGTGCAGCTTGACGTGGCCTGGTGCCGTTCGACACGGGTTTTAGGGAGGTGATGGAGACCTTGGGCACCTTTGCCTTGAGGGGGAAACAGAGTATCTCAGGGGAGCCAGGAGGAGAGGCACCTCTCACCCTTGCAAACAGAGGAGGGAGCACAGAAGGCTTCTCTACCAAAGGGTGGTGGGTGACAAGATGGGTGGCCCCACAGTTGCCATGTGCAATAAAACACGTGGCAGGTGCCAGAGCTGAGCCCTACCTCCCTCCATGCCCTGCTGAAATCTCAGAGAAGTCCAAAATCCACCTGTGTTTTCCAACAGCTGCCCAGGCTCTTCAGGAGCTCTGACAGCTAGAGAATTCCCGGCTCTGAGACATGAGCAATGCCTGGGGTGGCTCTGCCTTGGTGCCTATTGAGACAGGTCTCCAACAACAGCAGAGACCAGAGCGTGCGCGTGGCTGCCTCACACGGCCCCTCTGCAGCCTCCACGGCTGCTGCACTGCAGGTGGTAGCAGCACGTCCCCCCTCATCCTCTTACTACCCCTTTATGGGCCTGGTACCCATAAATTTGTCTAAACCATCTTTGACCCTGCTGACACCCTCTGCTTCACCGTAGCGCAGGGCGGAAGCTCCACAAGTTCATTGCTCCCATGTTTTCCTTCATCTGTTTTAACCTGAGCTCTGACTAGTATCATTGAATGCCCCTTAGTAGCTGCCTGAGATTTAAGAACTACAAAAATAGTCCTTGGCTTGGTTTCCAAGTGCTTACACCATGCTGATTCCTAAATGTTACACATGGGCACAGATGTTTATGCTGAAATCCACAGATTCAGGCAGGTTCGATTGTGCTTCAGAAATTCCCCAAGAAGACAAGGGACAATCCTCGAGATTACATTTATTATTATAAAAGGAGAGAGGCTGCTTTACTGATTCCTATTTACAAATCTGTCGGCAAAAAAAAAAAAAAAAAAATATCCAGTGTAATTTCTTAGCCTATTTTACAGCCCTGGCAAGAAGCGTTCATTTGCAATAGCAGCAAATGGCTATGGGTTGATTGCCTGCGTGGAGCGTGGAGCAGCGACAGGGCGGGCGGCCAGGCCTGGGCACAGGCACCGGTGAGCGCAGCCCAGGCAAGGGGCTGGCACCACGGGGCTGCACCCAAGCCTGCCCACACACGTAGATTCCAACCAAACCCGGCACCGCTGGTACCTGCTGACCCAGCGCCTCTGGGAACGCAGCCCCACATACGACGTATAAATTGTTCAGTGCTGCAGGAGGCCAAATGAGCTGAGCACTGGGACGGGGTGAATGTCTGAAGCAGATACTGGCACATCTTTGTTGGTGGGTTTGACAGAGCTAATCCCAACAAGGGAGAAAGATTTCCTGGCCCCCTGGACCACAGAAGGATCTAGTACCATAAGGGAAACCACGATCCTTGGTTTCGTGGAATGAGCTGCCCAGGGAGGTTGTGGAGTCTCCTTCTCTGGAGGTCTTCAAAACCCACCTGGATGGCACCCTGTGCCAGATGCTCTAGGAGTGCCTGCTTGAGCAGGAAGGTTGGACTAGATGATCTCTAGAGGTCCCTTCCAACCTTGAATATTCTATGATTCTGTGATCCTTGGTGCAGCTGGGCACAAACCACCGAAAACTCCTGCCGAAGAGCCCCTGGAGTAAACCCGTGCTCTGGGCCCCCACTCGCGCACCGGGACGCCAGCAGGTTCAAGGCACTACTTTACATGAGGCACCTGGTGCCTGACCCTTTGGTTCAGCTACCGACCTTCAAACCTGACTGCTGGCAGGTCTCAGCTCCCCTGCACTCGGGACAGGGTGATCCCATGTCCCCACCTGATGAGGGACACAGAAACATGAATGCAACCTTGGGTGCCACCAGCAAACTCAGCGTTGTCCCAACACCCCCTTGGCCTTGCAGCAGACCTGTGTCTAGCAGAGAGAATGCTGCAAAGGAAAGGAAGAGTCACACCAGGACAGCACCCAGCGAGAAGCTGCTGCTTGCGAGGGGCCATGCCGCGCTATCCGGAGGCTGTGGGCGACCTGTGCACTGCCCCAGAAGATACTCTCCTTGCTGGCTCTCAATGTCCTTGTTGGCACACAGAGAGCCCCAAGTGTTTAACAGCAAGCGAGGACGCTGAGCTGCCTGGCTAACACCATCCCTATGCAGGCTCCATGGCTCATAAGCCGTCCCAGCCTGCTTCCTCCCTTCCCTCTCCTTCCCGATCCCAACGCAGCTCTAGTACGAATCTGGCAGGATGAACATGGGTGCTGCTGTGGCTCCGGGCAGCATCATTTCACTGGGAAATGGGAAAGCTGGTGGGAAAGCTGCTGCTCTGCTGGAAGAGAACATCTGGGCACACGGGGCTTCTTGGCGCCCAGAGTCTTCCCTGCAGTGTCCAGGCCTGGGACAGGGGCGGGGGCAAGGCCGGGATCCAGCCCCTGGCAGGGCTCTCTGCAGGACGTCCTGGCTGTGTCTGGCCGAGCCCAGCAGAGTCCCAACGCGCCCCTGTACCTGGTGCCCTGCGGGGGAGCGTAGGAGCCGTGGAGGCGGCTCGGAGCCCGTCCCCGGCGCCTCTCCGGGAAAGCCGGCGTCGGCCCGCGCAGCCCGTGCAGGGCCTGGCAGAAAGGAGCTGCGAGCCTGGCTGGGGTTACCCCTCCAAAGGAGCAGGCCGTGTTGGAGGAGGCCAAAGAGGCTCTCACACCTGTGCCACCTGGTGCATCGTCCTTCCCCGGCCTCACAGAGCGCACGGGTGCTGGTTTAGCTCAGCACAGGGCTCGTCCATCCTACACGCTGACCTACACACTGCCCCGTGGCAGCCACAGGGGCTGTGCAGCTCCAAGGCCACCTAAAAGAGAAGGTTGGTGCATGTTGAAGCGCGACCCCCTGGCCATGGGATGTCTGCCTGTCCAGCCACCAGCAGCAGAGACTCAAAGACCTTCACAGCCCTCTTCCAACAGCTCTGAGGGGCACCAAAACCACCCTAAAGCTCCCAGCCAAGAGTCTGCAGCAGCGAACCAGGCTGACTCGCAGCCAGTGGAGTTATCCCCAGTATCTCCCTCAGGACTGGCTCATGCCATAGCACGGCTGCGATGTCCTCCTACCTGAAGCCAACTCTGCCCCGCAAGAGAGGAGAGTCTCACAGCGCCAGGCAGAGGTTTCTCACGGACATCACAGTGCTGTTAAGGAGCAAGCAGTCCTGCAGCTTTGAGGAGGAGGGCAGCCCCCCTCTGACATACCCAGAGGGCCAGGAATTCCTGTATCTGGCCCGGCATGTCCGAGGACTTCTTGGCCCTTCTGCAGAACAGCCCAAGCTTTCCAGGATCATCTAGTCCCCATCCTCAAAGTCGTATTTTGGGGGATGCTCTGGGCTAACCCAGAGTGTGACAATAGCAAGGACAATGGAAGAAATCTAAGTGGAAGGGAGAAGACATTGGACACCCAGCAACTCCCCAGAGCAGCATCCTACACCCCAGGGCCAGCACCTCAGACCAGCCCTTTGATGAAGCTCGTATCTAAGTGCACTATCAGCATGCGAAGGAAGGACATTTCCTTGCGTGTGTTCTCAAAGATAATCCGAGGATCATCAGACTGACAACGCAGGCAGTTGGGCGCCATCACCATGGCCAGGTTGTTGACATCCATCTTCGTTCTGCCCACGTTGGATGGCTGGGCAAAGATCTGCAAGCAATAAGGAGAGGTTCAGTTGGAGCAGTGTAAAAAGACAAGAGACTCCAAACAAGTGGCCCAAGAAAGGGTACAAGGGCAGGAGAGATGTGGCCTCCCTAAAAATGGGAGATGCCCCAACAGCCACAGTCCCAGGGAAGGCCTCTGCCACAGCTGCTGGTGTGGGGGCCTCCACAGACAGGGAATGTCTCACAGCTCCTAGGCTGCCCCTTCAGGACCAGCCCTGTCCACAGCCCACAAGACCAGGAATCAACACAGTTTATAGCTCCTGTAACGGACAAGGCCAGCAGCGCTTATGCCCTCTGCCATCAACCCCACTTCAAAGAGAGGTGAGAGGTTCTAAAATGCAGCTGATGGCAGGTTGTAACCGTCCCCGCGTGCCAGGCCCTGGGGGTGGTGCAGGACGCGCGGGGCGACTGGGCTGCCCACCTGCAGGAAGTGTATGAGGTAGCACAGCACCAGCCTGTTGAGCTCTGGCAGGAGCTGCACCACGGCCACCGCAGCGTCGGGGTTCTCGTAGTTGCTGATGCACTCTTGGTAGAACTGCTGGGGGATCACGGGCTCCTCGAGCTCCCGATACCACAGCTTGAGAAGAGAGGCTGGACACAAAACAGGGTGCATGAGAAAAGCTCTGGTCGACACCTTGCCACGTCTGGGCACGGGACGAGGCCACGGAGCCGTCTGGCTACGCAGGGACACAGTCTGTGAGCTCGGACGGCTGAGCCAGCCAAGGCACCGCGTGCTCAGGAGGGCCACAACAAGCCGAGGAGGCAGCACAGGACGTCACCAGAACAGCCTGGGGGAACGGGCTCCTTCCTGGCCCACTGTTGACAGTGCAAATAAATGCAAGCAAATCTCAGGTGCGACCGATAAGAAAAACTCTCTTCTGACTTTGTTTTGCAGAGACAAATTTGACAGCAAGACTGAACAACTTGGGGTCCAGAGGCCAGAGAAAGGTTGCGTTTCATCTTATACGAGTCAGTCTTGTCTTTGAAAATCTTGGATAGGCCAAACAACTCCTGAGAGGGAAATGCTGGCCCTTATCTACCTGCCTTGCCAAGAAGCAGCTCTGAGGCCACCTACAGGGAAGGGTGAGTTGGAGACCTCCGGACAAACAGGGCTGCTCACGAACGGGCAGCAGCGCTGCGCGCGCCGGCCGCTCATGGGGGCGGCGATCCCAGCACTTACTGTGGCAGGATTTGGGGACGCAGCAGAAAGGCAGAGAGTACCAGGCCCTGCTGGTGAAGGTGGCTTTGCCCACTGCGTGGCACAACGTGGAGCTGTCCCCAAAGAGCAGCAGGTCCCCTGGCTGCCGCCTTCCCTTCCCCTGCGCTGCAGCCGAGGCCGCAGCACAAACACGCGGCATCCCTGTACCTGGGACGTTGGGGTCGCTGAGGCCCTGGGGGATTCTCCACTGATCCACCTGCAGTTTCAGCGCGTTCACTTCGTCTATGTCACCAGGTACCCTGTAAACAGAGGCAGAGCAGGGAGGCTGCAGCGAGCGCAGCGGCCGCGACGCCGGCACCGCCGCGGGCCCCGCGCGAGGCCTCGGCACCACCGCGGCTTCTCTCAGGCAGCTTCACACCACCACTGGTAGAAACACTCATCCCGTTCCTGCCAGCTCAGGCACCAACTGCCACTTCGACCTCGGGAGCTGCTGTTTTCTGTAACTGCACTTCCCGGGGGCATTTTTCAGTCTAGAGATACAGACGGCTCGGGGTAAATATGCCAAGACAGTAGGAATTGCTCAGGGCAAAGTTGGGTCCTTCGCTGGTTGCCTTAGCTCGAGTTTAACAGTGAAAAATTAACAAAAAATCTTAAAAAGCAAAAGACCTTCCAAGAACCATAAGCTCTGTAGTGACCATTTGGATTCTTTGTCCCCTCAAATCCTCACATGCTCGCCCAGGAGCAGAGCACCCTGATGTCTGTGCATGAGCGAAGCTGAAGGGCTGCATGCGATGGACTGCTTGTGCTCGACGGATTGCCATCTTCTCATAACGACGTTCGGTCACTGGAGGGTGCTCTAACTGGCCCCCAAACTGCCTTTCAGCACAACAACACGGTCAGAAAGATCCCACGCTTGATAATTACCTGTAGCTCCTTAACTGTTTATTACCTCTTGCAAGCAGGCAAATATCAAAACCAACACCAAACCAAACCCCAGCAAACCCACTCACGGCCCAGGCCGCCTTGGGCCGTGCTCAGCAGGGAGCATCACACTCCACCTCGCGGCTGTGCTGAGGCGCTCGGCTCTCTGTGCAGCACCGGGGCTGCCTCGAGGCGGAGGCGAGGCAGGCCGGGCATTGCCCGCTCGGGCCCTGGGCCCATGCCCACGAGGAGAGGGGCGCCCGGCGCCTCGGCCTCTCGCAGGGGAGCTCTCGGCCCAGGAAGGTGGGAGCAGCAGCAGCCAGTCCTTCGCAGAGCAAAGCAAAAGGAAGAGCTGCTGCCTGGGATTTGGGACCTCCATCCTCATCCCCAGGCCCCGTTTACAGCAATGATGTGGGGCAAAACCACCATGCAGGGGTACGGGCAGCTCCCCATATGGGGAATCAAAAAGCTTTTGGGGTTTGAGGTCTGCGAGAGAGAAGCTTCCCATTCTAAGTCCTTGCCTCCTGCAAGGGACGCTGCAAGTTACAAGCAGTGTGGCCCTAGGCCGTGCTTTGGTCCCTGGCTGGTGCCGACACTTCAGCCGATCCCGATTCCCTCCTCCCAGGCAGTCCCTCCATTCTAAGCAGCAGCTCCCACCACCAGTGGAGCCTACAGGGCTCCCAGGAGAGGCTCAGACCTTCCCCAGGAGAAGGAACCCACGGTGCCGACCAGGGATGCCTGAAGCACGGCTCGCACCAACCAACAGCACCCATGGGCTCAGGCAGGAATCCACGGCTTGTCCCTTCCCTGCACGGACCAACTGCAGCCAGTTAAGCTGACAGAAGTTCGGTGCTATGCCTGGCCACTTGCTGTCCTAAATAGTTCAGACCACATCTGCAAAGAATAATCTCCCCTCTGTGCTAATGCATGCAAAGAGTCTAATGCGACCCAAACAGGTGATTCTTAAACCCTTAGAAAACGTTATTTTTTGTCCAATCTGGAAACAGGGTGCTACTGTCAGGGAAAGGGAACTATCTGGAGGTCAACCTGGATTTCTTGGCCTTGCGGACTGACGGGTGAGTGGATCAGAAGTAACACAAAGCCCCTGCAGCTCACCTGAAAATCCCTTCCGTCTGCTCTCCTCCCAGCGCCAGGACCTGCTGCGACAGCTGCGTCTGCACCCACGGCAGCTTGTTACGGGGGTGCGTGTCCTGCTGCCGCAGCATGATTTCCTCCAGAGAGCTGCCGAAGAGCGACGGTGTCACGATGGCATTTCTGGCATGCGTTATCTCTTCTATTGTGGGTTTGCGGAGGCCCTGAGGACAGAGAGGTCAGTGCAGCTGCTGCCCACGAGGGGAGGGTGGCCCCCGCGAGCCCCTGCCGAGCATAGCTGCTGCTCTGAACCCGCTTGAGTTGGGGCACCCAACCCACCAGGCTGCACTGGGAAAGGGGCAGCAAAGCTGCAGCCCAAGGGCAGGGGCAGCCTTGGAGAGCTCGGCCCTGCGGCTGCGTTTCGAGCTCCGCAGCCGGCCGCGGCTGCCGGCCGTGGTGGCAGCAGGAAGCGGGGCCCGAGCTGTCCCAAAGCCGAGGCCAGGCCTGCAGGGACCACGCGCACCTCAGCCCTGTGTCCCAAATGCCACAGGGAGGCGGGAAAAGAGCCCTGTGGGAGAGGGGAATTTCGGGTACGTCCAACTCTGGGGTGCAGCTAAAGTCAGGGAAACATTTAGTTTTCAGGGGCACTAGATTCATCAGCAAGGCAGGTGCCAGGCGCCTGGCGGGCCGAGCTGCTCCCGCCTCACGGGATGCTCCAGGGGCACCTCTAGTGCCAGGCAGCACCGCGGCCGGTGAGTGGCAGCCACGGGGAGCCGCGGCCCTCGTGCAGCTGCGGTGCCGCCCGGGCGCGCGCCGCACATCCGCACGTCCCGGCTCCGACCGGGGGGACACCGGGAGCCTCCATCCCGCTGGAGCCACCTCCGCTGGTGGCCCCCGGAGTGCAGAGCACAGGGAGGCCCCAGCGGGATGTGCAGAATTAAAAGACGGCCGGATCCAGCTGAGGCCCAGGCGGATGGGCCGTGCCCAGAGAAGGCAGGAGGGATACTTCCAGATAACACGAAGCACGAGGCTCCTCCCTGTGCCAGCAGCGTCTGCAGGACGTCTTTGAACTGGACACTTCTGCAGTAAACCCACTGCAAGGCCAGGCCCGGAAAAGCTCTCAGTGAGCAAAGAGAGACTCCTTCCTCCCCTGAGGAAACCAGCTCATTGCGTGACGGGCGCCCCGTGCAGAGAGCTCCCGCGGCCTCGGGGATACCAGGCACCAAGTCCCTCATGCAGGCGGGCTCCGGCGGTGCAGCTCCCAGCACGGCAGGCCCTGCCGCGGCCAGGAGGCATCGCGGCACCTGGGCCCTGCCGCAGTGCGGACCCTGTGCCACGAGCGCCAGGCGAGCTGCCAGGCAGGGGCTCGGACGGCGGCAGCTCCAGGCGCCTCCCATCCTCGACCCCGCTGCCACCCTGTGATTCATGGGCACACGAGCCTCCAACAGGCCTCCTCCGCTGCGTATCTGCATTCTGCATCACTGAATCAGCGACAATGTCCGCGGGGCCAGGGCCGGGGCCGGGCTCCTCTGGGGCCAGGAGAGCACAGCGCTGCCCGAGGGCGACTTGGTGCTGGGGGCTTGGCACCTACTCACCTTTTTGCCGCCGGTGACGGCTACTTTCTGGAGCTTCCGGTAGCAGTACTTGGCGTAGGTGCTGATGGGCAGGCCTGGGAAGAAGCAGGGAGCAGTGAGCGGGGGCGCTGCGAGGAAGCACTGGCAGAGCCCGGCACATCCGTGTCCCATCCCGCACCGTCTGCCCATGGGGAAGAACCGGCAGAGCCCGGCACAGCCGTGTCCGTCTGCACAGGAGTCACAGCCGCAGCACACTGACCCTCCCGCCCCAGACACCTGCCTGAGGATTTACATACTGCTCCATCGCAGGAAAATAAAAGCATCCAGAGCGTGGAAAGCTTTTGAGTGTTTTAAACAAATTGCTCAAGATGGGAGAACTGAAGTCCTGGGCTGGTAGGAGAGGCAGTGTCAGAGCAGGGAGCACCAGGGCTGCAGAGCTGACGTGAGCACGAAGAGACAAGCGGGGAGGGGTGCAGGGAGGCAGAGGAACCTCTCTCATCCTCTCGGAAAGCTGCAGAGCGCTCGGTGCCTCCCACACAACGGCCTCCCCCAGCGCCCTGGCACAGCGAGGCCTGCGGTGCGGCTGGGACCGGGACCAGCACCGGGACTAGGACCGGGACCACGAGCTCCCCCGCGGCAGCAGCCTCGCACGGCGGATGCCCCCGCGCAACAGGGGAAACCTCGGCACCGCCCGAGCACTCACTGCACCAAGAGGCTTTTTCCAAACCCATTGGCCTCCTGTTCTTTTTCGAGCCAGACCCAAATCGCTCGCTGAAAGCACTGAACAGATCTGCCCTCTTTGACTCCTTGCCAGACTCGAAGCTTGCAGCGGAGTTCAAAATACTTGTTGCTTTTCAATCCCCTGTGTGGTCAGAGGCTGCCTATTTCACATGCACTCTGCGGGGTCGGGATCTCGGTGCTGCTCAGCTCTCCACGCACAGAGAGGGCCGGTGTTCGTGCTGCGCAGAGGGCGGCATGGGGATGCGCCGCATCCCGGCGTCGCGCTGCATCCCGGGGATGCGCCGCATCCCGGCGCCAGCCGCAGGCGACCGCAGCCCTCGCGCCCGCGCAAACAGGCCCTGGCCAAGGGCACGAGGGCAGCGTCCCCCCTCCACGGCGCACAGGGGACGTCGCCTTGAAAACTGCACTCTCTCGGGAATATCTGAAGCAAAGTGTTCTTTACAGGCAAAAATCCTGCTAACGGCAGGCACCATTTATAATGGGAATGTTTGAGAACGAAAGGAAAGAAAAATGGAGCTACAGGAGCTATTTTGTAATGCTTCAGTACTTTAGGTTCCTGCTTCTGCTGTTAAAAGGAGCGTGTCCAGCACACCACAATGTGAAGTGTCACCTGGTTCACGCAGGAATGACTGGGAAGACGCGAGACTGGAATCTGTACCAGGAAAAACACACGGAAGGCAGCACACTGAACACTCATAATAGGAAACGCTTCTTCACGGTGCAGTTTCACCACAAAGCCCTTCCTCGCACCAAAGGCTCATCCAGGTTTGCCGAGGAACCGGCTGCTCCCGCGAGTCGGCGCTCCTGGCAGGAGTGCGTGGCCGCCAGACACGACTCGAGCCTGGATGAGGTTTGCTCCGTTCCTTCCCGAGACTCTTCCTGGGAAAAGCCTAAGCCTTCCCCGCTGCGCTTGCTGCACCGCGGTGTCCTGCTCCCAACAGCAGAACCGCTACTGCCCGTCACTCAGAGGGAACTGCCAGGCTCACGAGCGGACAACTGAAATCTGCAGCAGTTAAACCGACATCAAAGTCACTCCTTGTGTAGAAGGCTGTACTTACTGCCCATGGATCTGCATCATCATCCCCTGGAGGGAGAGCCCAGACCGGGGGCGATGGGGGCTCGGCCGCTGCGGGCGCAGAGCAGAAGGGCTCCACGCAGGGTCCTGCACCCTAAGCGTGCAGCTTTTACTTACGGGCAGTTGTCCATCCCAGTCTGAGCTCTCCCGGCTCCTGGGACATGCATGGCGAGGAGAAAAGGCCAGGACGCCAAGTGGCAAATGCTAGGGCAAGGAGCAGCGTTCAGCCTCAGCCTCTGCTTTTGCAAACCCAACCTGGTTGGAGGGGCTGGCCAGCCCCTTCCCCTGCCCACGTCACGACTCCTTCGCTGAGCGCCTCACTCCCTGCAACGAGGGGCCTCGCAGCTGAGCTCGCCGTATCCGGAGTCCCGGCCTGTTCCCAGGGCTCGCTGTGTCTGGAGCCCCGGCCCGTTCCCAGCGCTCCGTGCGCGGGACAGAGCTGGCAGGGCCGCGAAGGGGATGGCCCATGACCGCTCCTTAGATACCAGCTAAGGCCGCACAGGCATTTCTGCCTTTCGGGAGACTTAGAGCTCTCCTGCTGTGCCTTTTTCAATGCAATTTCTAATATTTTACTTTTTAAAATAAAAACTCCCCCTGGCTTCGTAAGCACAACTCCAGCATGTGCAGCACAGTCTTCTGAGCACAAGCAAAGTGACTTTTCAAAGACGCAGAACTGGCTGAACTCTTCTGGGTCTGAGCAGAAGACATATTCCCGAGCAGAAACACAATCCCTCCACGTGATTCCAGGTCTCTGCTCCGGGTCCCACAGCGGCCAGCCTGTTCAACGGGAAAGCGAGAGCCGCCTTCTTGCTGCAAGGAGGACAGGCCCTTTAGCCGAGGGGCCTGCTCTGCCACTTGCCAGACTGGAAGTGGACCCGAAGGAGCAGCGACACACGGAGATCCCTGCAGGTCCCTGGAGAGCGCAGCTGCCGTCTGCGAGCTTCATACACCTGCGCGCTGGTGTGAGGAACACGCAGGAAACTGCCCTCCAGGGCTCCCCAAACTGGCCTAGAAACACTGAGCCCACCCCATACAAGCTGCTGGCTGATAGGAATTCACATTGCAGGCTCAACTTCCTAAAAGCCATAAAAAACAGGAATGCATTTTGTCCAGGCACATTTGAGGCCAGAGGAAGCGTCACCTGTCCTCCTGTGGCCGGCGTTACGGCCTCCAGCTGCAGTCACATGCGAGCTCTTGTTCACTCAGTAGAGATGCTCCTGCAAGCCCGAGAGCGCGAGGCCAAAATCGTGCAGCTCCATAAGTCAGCGCTGAAAGCCCAGGAATGAGGCCACAACGGGCCGGCCACGCGGTGCTGCCACTGCCACGAGGCAACCGGCCACGGCGCCCGGCACAGGGCCTGCTCGGAGCGGAGCGCACAGCTCTGCCCGTGGCCACAGCGCCCCGAGGGAGCGTCCCCAAGCCCCGCGTGAGGGCTGTGTGCAAGCTGACCCCCTTGTCCCTGCACGTGTCCCTCCTGCGAGGGACAGGGTCCCTGCCGCCCTGCGCTGCTCCCTTCCCTTGAGCCCAGGAGCAGCTGCCCCAAACTGCCCCCCATGCTGCTCCGTTCGGACCCACCCTCAGGCTAAACCTCTGGCGCGGGCACCTGCAACAAGCTCTCCTGAATCTACGCCCTATAAGCTTAGAGAAATGGTCTGATTTCCAGTGGCACTCAGCAGCCCAGCCTGCCTAAGGTCAGTGCCAGCCTTCCTCCCATTACCTTCATCTTCAGTATTCTGTTTCCTCTTCTTCCTGGACTTGGAGTTCTTCTTGTTTTTCAGGTCCATGAGCTCCTTCATGCGCTGAGCAACTGAAAATTCAAAGCACTGTTAGCTGAGCAACGAAGGAGAGCAAATGCTCCCTGCCCTCCTCCCCGCCAGCGGGCAGCAAAAAGCTCTGCTTAATAAACCATTAATAGTGTGGAGCTGTGAAACACTAATGCCCAGAAGTGCCCTCAGACGTGAGCTAAAGCAGCCAGCCCGGCTGTGCCACGGGGAGTCCTGCTCAGGGAAGGGTCCTGTGCCACAACCGGCTCCAAACACCAGCCAGGGACCTAGAACAGCCTTCGGCTCCTCTGAACGTACTTGGGAAGGGGCTCCGAGCTGAAAATCTGCATTGCTTAAATATGAGCAGCAGGAATAAGCCGTTTAAATAGTCTGGATTCTTCTCCTTACTGCCTGGGTCCTGGTGCCTCCAGGCAAGGCCCAGCTGGAGGAAACAATGTTTTTGGAGGAGAAAGGAGAGCAGCCTGGGCTCCCCACGCAAACCCAAACCACCCAAACGCCCCTTCCCGTGGAGCGGCGCAGCGAAGGGTCCCTCCCGTGAAGCACCGCGGCCAGGGCGGAGGCGCCGCTGCCGCCAGCGGGGCAGAGAGACGCTGGGGCAGAACGGCCGTCCCCCGGGACGTGGGAGCCTCGCGCTCCCCTGGGAACAACGGCGCTCGCCTCCAGCCCCAGCCTGGGCAGCTCTCACGCTCTGATTCTTTGAAAGGAAAACGCCTCCTATGGCTTCAAGGCTCCAACGAGCAGGAGCCTCGTTAGTGTTGTTAGACAGGAACTCTGCTTTGTTAATGAGCACCACAGAAAGAGCTGCAAATCAGCCAATAAATATCCTGCAGGTTGAAAGTTGGCACTTTTTTTTTAAACAGGATGCTGTAGCAACTTAAAACTGGAGTAACGCTCAGATCTGTGGGTGAGGTAGCACTAATTCCTCTGCAGGTAATGCTAGGCTTGTCCCCATGGCTTCTAAGAGACACTGACAGATCCCATCCACACGTCAGCGCAGGCCAACATCCTTCACGGCCACTGGCTGGCTGCCATGTGAAGGCCCATTTGTTACCTTTGCTAGAGCTTCCTAACATTTATTTTTTTTCCTGCTTTAAGGCACTTGGGAGCAAATCATCTCTTCAGGGAATTCTAGGAAATCTGCCCATGACGGAGGTGGAATCAGCTCTTTTCAGCACTGATACTGCCAGGCGGATCAACGAGACGAGCCCAGCCGAGGGCTGGCATTTCCCTTGCCAGGCACGATGGAGGATGGCAGGGAGATGAACTAGTGGCGGCTGCTTCTCTCAGAGGAGGGATGAGCTTGCCCACATGTGGTGTTCTCAGTGACGGAAACCACAGTACCGGCTGGTGACTACCTGGTTTTTAAAACTAGACACCCCCCTGTAAATGGCCCAACCCACCAAAATGCTGCTAGGTGCACACGGGTGCGCGGGAGGCACTTACTGTTTTCATCGCTGTCCAGGTGACGATAGATGTAGCCTTCCAGGTACGACTGGAATTTTGGTGACGGGGAGAAGAAGGCCAGACTAATGGCCATCAGTTCCCAGCCCCATGCCAGACTTTGGTAGCACGTATTATCTGTTGTCTGCCTGATGAGCTGTATGTAGAGCTCATCCCGTAAACCCTGCATGCTCCAGCACTTGGTGACGGTGACCAACGCCACGTGATTCCTATCCATGCGAGTCTGACGATCTCCCATGTAGCTCTGCACTAGTTTGAACATCTCACAGGCTTCTTTCTTGATGGCGCGGTTGCTCGTGATGAGCATTGGCTTTTTGATAGAGCCGCCGTTCCAGGAGAGCATGTTGGAGATGGAGATCCTCCGGCGGAAGATGCCCTGCGTGTGCATGTTGAGGTTCTTGGAAGCCCAGTCTGCCATGCTGCTCGGAGAGATGGGCTTCCGCAGGGTGTTGTATGGGAAGTGATATCCCATCGGCTGCCCGCTGCTCTCCGCCTTGGCATCCAGCTCTATCGTCCCGGGCTACAACGGAGAACAGAACCGTTAACTGCTTAGCTGATTCCCTTGGCCCAGCAGCAAAACGAGCAACACTGAGCGATGGCAGCAGCACCCGTGACGTGGCAGATCTGCACTGAACTTGGTTTCATGCAGAACCTGTTGCTGACATCCATAGTTCTGCAAGAACTATGCATAGTTCTGGCACGGCAGCACATGGGCTGCATCTCAGAGGGAAACCCTGGGACAGGGAGAAATGGGGTGACCTTCCCTGTTGTCCCAGACCCCTGGGGCCAGCCCAAGCAGGAGCTGGGCTGAAGGCCTGCACAGCCGTGCGGCACTGCGGCAGGAAGCACAAGCCAAGGAACCAGGGCTCGCACGGCCCTCAGCTCCCGCTTCCTCTTGGGCTAGCAGAGCCCAGCTCTGCAGAGGAGGTTGCAGAGACCAGGTTGACGTGGGACTAGCGCCGCAGTTTCCATCTTGCACCTGCTTCTTGTGCCCGATCCCATCCTGTGGCTGGTTCCTGCCTTCTTCCTGCCTCTTTTTCCAAGTTCTAACCCACCAAGTTCTAACAAGCCACCAATGGACACGGCTAGCTGTGCTCAGAAGCAGCTGAGCTCTGCGTGGCCTGTACCCGGAGAGCTCCTGCACGGAGCTATTCAAGAGGCACCTCTTGGGTCTGCCTCAGCCTTTGCAAGGGACACACCGGCCGGAGCCACAAACGGGACAGGGAAAGCTGGAAAAGGGAGGCACAGGAGTGACAGCAGGATTGCATGGACTTTGACGGCAGGGCTCGAGGAGGATTATCATTCAAACCAAATAGGTGCCTTGGGAAGAAAGCAGGGCAATTCGCTGGGTACATTGAATGTAACCCTTGTAACCCTTGGACCACTGCCCTCGGTGAGCACTGAGGCTACCGCTGAAGGTCTGATGAGCAGGCTGAATGCCGGCGTGTCCCAGGACATGGGCAGAGCAGCAGCTCTGCAGGGCCGGGGCTTCCCACTGCGCTGTGCTCCCTCCCGAGCCGCAACCACGGGAGTGCACGGGTATGTATGTACCCCCCAAGCTACAACAGGGACTGCTCAAAGGGACTTGTTTTTTACTTTCAGGGACCTGGAGCCATCTGCTCCCCTTGGGTGCTCCATATCGATCACACCGATTTGCTCCAGAGATGGGGGCAGCGATCGCGGCTTCATGGACCCACACAGCGGAGACAACAGACCCTTCTTCATCGCGGGTTTTCACACACGGCAGTGGTCCACCCTTCTTCCCCTGAGATCTCCAAGAAACTACATCCCAGAATTGGAACTACAGCACCAATCCCCAGAAATTGAGGTGTAATAATCACCAGAGAGGAAAAGACACTCATTTTGCCTGTTTAGCATTTTCTGTTTTGGCTGGAAGTGGCAGCCCGGGACACATATTTAACTCAGATGCCTAACAGTTATTATAGGAAACAGACCTTATGGATAGACTTGAAATTCCCACGCAGAGGAACTAAGTCATAAACAGCCCACATTTCACTCTGTGTTCTCCAAGCAGACCTCCGTAACGGCAGGAAGAAGTCACACAAGACAATATTTGAGCTGCATGTGTGTGTGTTTTTTTTTTTTTTTTAATGCACACAAACAGGATTTCTGTAATTTTGTTTTTATAGTGTAAATCTTTTAAGAAAAACATGTATTTTCCTTTCTTTGTAGGATGCCCTTGAACTGCCTGCCACTCTGTATTCCAGTCCTGGGCGCCAGTCAAGCTCAAAAGTCGGTTCTTGAGCACTTAGGGCAAGCTACTGTTTTCCTTCTTCGCAGTGAGGAACTGCCAAACTCCTGGCGGAGACTCACGTGGTGCAGCCCTTCCCTATCTCACATGCAACATGTATCTACACGTGGACGTCGGGATCAGCACGCACCGAATTCCGCCTCTTATTGCCAGCCTGGGGCACAATCGTGTCTCCTGCTTTTCTATTTCTTTCTTTCTTTTTAACCCATTAAATTACTCTCTCCCCTCCCGTCTCTGAATTCACTCAACTTGCTGCCTAAAAATCAGCAGTTCCTCTCTTCTCATTCTTTCCTCAGTCTACTCCAATCCCCGTTTTGTGCCCTGGGCTGGTTTTCCTCCTACCCCTCTAATTGCTCCTTCAGTATGGTGTTTCCAAGGATCCACATCCTTATCTCATTCCAGAGGTTCAACAGGCTCTTCGTTCCTTCCTCTTCTCTCTCTGAAATTTATCTCTGTCATCTCATTCACACGACCACGCAGCTCTATGCTTGTGCTGACAACACACATCCACCTCTGCTCAGCCGGTCCTAAAGCCTCCGCTTGCCCTTCTGAGAAACTGAATTTCCTCTTCTCCCGATTTCACATCCACCACGCAGGCCCAGTTGGGGACATTGCTGTGACTCAATCCACATACTGCCCTTTTCAGGCGAGGCAGCAGTTCTGCCCCATTCGCTTGCACAGCTTCTCTGCATCCTCCACCCCTCCAAGCCTGGCAGCTCAGTTCTCAGAGCATTTTTGTAAATGGAAGGTTATTTATTGACTTATTACCACATCATCTGTCTCCTTACAGCTTTCATTTTATTTTCCTTCATTGTCCTACACACAATTATTTTCCCTCACTGACAAGGCTATTCACAGTCTATCCCCAGCTCTCCATCTCTTGTGCATAATCAAGACATCAAGTCTCAGCTTCACGCCATCAAAACAATGAAGTGCAGCAGGCCCTGCACACGAGACAGTATTCCCTGAGAAAGGAGATGGCACAACAAACTGCTGAACTAGTAACTGTAACGTGCGAGTCATGGCCCTGGGCCAGAAAAATGGAAAATGGGGAAGATGTGACATCACATTTTAAAAAAAGGTTTCAGGAGAAACCGAATCAATCAGTAGGTCTGAACTCATGAAAAGAAATGTTAGCAAAGGACAGAGCCCAAAAGCACAGTGAAGAAGGGTCAGCCTGGCTTTTAGAGAGGAGTTCCACCTCGCAAATCTACAGAGGCAATTGGACGTGATCAATGAGATTTGCTGAGTTTCTTCATGAAAGGCCCTTAAAAGAATCAGAAAAGTTACATAGTAAGAGATGATTCCCTTATAGGGACTAATAAACAGGAAACAAGACAAGGCAAGGGTAAAAAATGACTTTTTTTCAGAGTTGTAATCAGCTGACTCCCCTGAAAGAAAAACTGAGGTTGTTCAGAACAAGAGTGAAATAACCAGATAAGCAAGCAAAGAGTAGAACAACGTATCTGACTATAACCATATGTCTAAAATAAAACCAAAACTAAGTCTGAACTAAGACTGTGAAGCAGAAGGGCCTTACAAATCCAAATAAGAGGAAAGAAAGCAAACTAAATTCTGCGCAAGTGCTGCATGGTAGAGAAAAGCTACTCCAGCGGTACATGCACAATGATGGGAACACTCCTTCTGACACGACCGCAACTCCAGCAGCTTTTTCAAAAGTTTTCCAAATATTTCAATTCAACATGCAGGAGTGGCTAAAAGGGCAAGAGAACATAGAGAACTTTTAGGAAAGGAAGAGAGAGAAAAACAGACGGCGCTGCCACATTGCCATACAAATCCCGACGTCCGCATCCTGTCCATCTCGTGCAGATCTGGTCACCCCAGCTCAGAGAGGATACACAAGGGCAAGGGCTACAAGGGTGATGGAGGCTACGGAGCCTCTTCCGCGCGGGAAGGGGCCAGAGGAGTCCGTGCGCACGCGGGACATGTCGCGGCAAGCGCAGCCAGCCCTGCAGGGAGCCCGGCGGCCAGAGCGCAGGAGCAAACGCCCTCCCGCGTCCTCCCGCAGGGAGGGCAGGGCACCGAGAGCCGAGCCAGGCATCAGGGCCGCACTGGCCACTGAAACGCCCTGTCACACCACAACTAACGTGTGAACTCATCGCAACGGGGTGCTGCGGAGGCAGAAAGGCAAGGAGGCTACAAAACACAGCCACACCAAACCGCGGGAGAAAACCTCCCCAGAAATTATTGAAAAAGCTGAATATGAGCGACACGCTTGGGCTTCGTCCTTGTGGCCACCACGCGGCACGCTGGGAGAAGGCCCCGTGTGACGCTCTGCTCTTCCCTCTGCAGGTCCTGCACCAGGCGGAGAGCCTGCCCTGGCAGGAAGGACCCTTGACCTGACCATGTGGCTGCTTCTGTGTTTTTGTGCCCTCTGACCAGCCTTTAAGCCCTTAGAGGAAGGCTGTTTTGTTCTGGGTGTCCAGTGCTGAAGCAGAAGAGAGCCTCCTTGCCCCATTACAAGTAATACAGCACTGATAAACTACCATTCACAGCGCTGGGAGTTTGCCAGACAGGTACACAGACCCTTCCACAAGCCTCGCTCTTTCGTGCCACCCAGGCCACTGCTATGAAATGGGCACTCCACCTGAAGAGCAGTAAAATTTTGTAACCAGTTTACCACTGTTGTGGTAACCAGTTTACCACAGTTTACCACTGTGCAGGTGCACACACGTCCTGCGTGCACCTCACAGCACTACAACAGTCTAGCAAGGTGTGCAATTTAAGCAGCAGAGATCAGGAGGTACCTGAGAGGAGTGACGTGTAGCATCCGATGAAGCCAGACTTGTCTGGCTGGTCACGTTCTTTTCCAAAGAATCAATTTTCTCAAAAGTCCTCTTCTGCCTCATTGTGTCCTGCGGAGTAGCCGTGTCGCTGGGAAAGCTACCCCTGCTCTCCAGGCCCTGTCTGTACAGAGACCTGTTACTGGCAGAGACATCGTCCCTTGAGCTCCGGGTGATGCATTTTTTCAAGTGGTCAGACTGAAATCTGACTTTGCTGCTCTCTGCTGGGATGCCACTATCCAGAGTTTCAGCATCAAGGCTGGCTTTGCTTCCTCTGCAAGCTGCTGACCTGCCCACCACTGCACGCATCTCAGCAATCAACTTATCATTCAAAGCTGTGAGCTCACTGCTGCTGCCCACAGAACCAGGTCTTCCTTGACCTGTCCCTTGCCTCCTTCCTTTCCGTTTTCTCAAGCTTGGAGAAGGGCCAGTCGAATAACCAGAATCCTGGTGGCTTATAGCAGTTGGGTACTCTTGAGTTTGCACACTGTGCTGCCTGCTATGGTGGGCTTCCATGTTCTTGAGGACATTGGCTTCCAAGATCCTCCAAGACTGCTTGAAGCTGTCCTTCAAAGTAAGCTGACCAGGCAGTTTGACGGAAGCCTCAGCAGTTGCAGCAGCAGAGTGAGGAAGTTTGGAAGATTGGTCAACATTGATCATGTGTTTTATATATTCCCTGCCAGCCGGGCTATATTCAGTGGAAGAAGGACTTCTCACATGTTTCTTTGCAGCTTGTTGCTGTTGCATACTTGGATGCTGTAGTAATTTGGTTGGCTGGAGCTGCTTTTTTAAGCTGTTGCTTGGTGACACTGGTGGAGATATCCCATTCACGTTGGCACTTTCCGTGTCCATATCTACTGGAGGCTCATCATAAATTGGGGATTCTAAAGATGGCTCATCATATATAGGTGCAGGGCAGGCATACTTGGGGGATGCAGGCTGGGGAGTTCCTGTCTGACTCCTTGGAGGTGTTTGAGAAGCTGGCCCATTCATCAGCACTAAGCAAAACCCACCATTCTCTGTCTTTTTGATCTGCATCGATTGTTTTGCTTCTCCTGCAGGCGCTTGCTTAGCGGCACCGGCGCTCTGGGACGTGGGCTGAGGCTGAGCATATATGGCTGGTTTGGGAAGAGATTTTTGGCCGCTGGCTTCCGGGGCGCTCTGCAGCTGAAGCGAGCTGCTTGAAGAACTCTGTACCTGCCTTAAACTGTTCACCTTGACCAGCATGGCTGCTTTTGTGCCAGGCAGAGGCTGCCAGTGGGTAGGTGTCTCCCTAAAGAAAGGAAGATACAAACACAGGAAATTATTTAAGAAAGTGAGAGAACAGAAACAACATTCAGAACTTCTGTACTGGTAGGAAGAAAGTGAAATAGTCTCTGCTTATGCGAGGACATTGGACTGTCAGTCTCAAAGTGCCTGCAGATTCCCCAGCCTGTTCCACAGGAACAGAAACATATTGTTGTTAAACACAAGGACAATTTCTGGCTCATGAACAGCAAAACAACGAGATGAAACAAGCTCATGCCACTGTAACCTGTTTGGTAGCAGCAGCAGTAAGCTATGGGACAACATATTCTAGCCATGAGCCTTGAGCTAGCACAGCACCCAGAAAAGCTGGTGGAAGAACAGAGGGAATTTCTGAACCATTTGAACAGTAAGTTAAAAAATAAAGCGCCTACCGTCAGACTGTCTAATTATGATAACAGCCCTTCCAGAGCACTGCACTTTTAAACTAACTTTTCAGATCCACGTTTACGTTCCAGCAAAACCTTTGAGGTCCACGGGGATAGTGAGGGGTTGATGCGCTCAGCTCAGAGCTGGGTGTCACGCTCCCATTCAACCTGGCCTCTGCATGGAGCTTTCCCCGAGCCCAGGCCGGGCACCATCAGACCCGATTCCCTTGACCAAACCTACTGGCTCTGCTCAGCACAAACAGCTTTGAAATCCTCTTCCAGGAGCATCCTCCACGTCACGATGATGTTTAGTGGTAGCCACAACCCAATATTCTCACTGCACCGTCCCAGGCCCCGAGGGGCAGTTTGCAGTGTACTCACAAGCTGCTCTCACACGGGAGCTATAGTCCACTGACATTCATGTGCTCAGAGGGAAAGGGAAAGGAGAAGCTGCTAAATCAGCTTGAGATCTCAGGTCTTGGAGGTCTGCTACCTCCATCCCTCTCGACCGACCTCCTGCTCCGTGTCCCCTGCACTGTCAGACACAACCACCTCCACCACAGGCCCAGGACGGCCTCTCCGCCCCTCGGGGACTTGTGTCTTCCTCCCCAGATGCCAGGAGGTGCCTCAGGACGGCCCAGCCCTTCCCACTTGCTCACAACAGCCTCGCGGCTTTGCTCTGCAGACACCCCCTCCCCGCTGCGCGCAGCCTCCCCGGGCTGCTGCGCTTGCCGTCCGCCCTGCTCCGCATCCACCCACAGCAGGACACACGTGTGCCCACAGAGGAGCAACGCGACCTCGTCGCCCCGCTGCCCGCTCCTGCGCCACCTCCCCGGCCTCACGGGCCCTCGGCCGGGACGCTCTGTCAGCCCCAGCAGCCACATCCCTCTCTCCACGAGCCCTTCCCTCGCGGCTCCCACTCGGGCTCCTCTAGAGACCCGCTTCTCTCCTCCCCTGTCCTGGGAGGAAGTGCCTGCCCGGGCCCCTCCACTGGCGATTCACCTCAGTTTGGCGGGGTGTTCGCTCCCGCTGGCCGGCCCCGCGTCCCAGCCGGCCCCGCGTCCCGGCCGGCCCTGTGTCCCAAGGCAGGAGTGCAGGGCGAGGCCCACGCTGCCCGCTCGGGCGCAGCCCTGGCTCCCTGCCATGGTCCAAAGGCCCCGGGGCCGCCCAGTGAGCGGCGCCGGCGCGGGTGGCCTCCCCATGGCCCGTGTGCCGCGGAGCTCGGCCCCGCTTGGCCTGCGCGAGGCTCCAAGCACCTGCCGATGGCGGCGGCTCCGCGCGGCCCTGCGCCGGGCGGCCTCGGGGGCGGATGGGAGGCTCGAGGGACATGGACCGGCTGGCAGCGCCGCGCAGGACGCGGCTGCACGTCCAGGACACGCAGCCCCACTGCCCGCTACGCGGCCCTTCCCACGGCCGCAAGGACCCGGCCCCGATCCCAGGCGCAGGCACTACTGACAGCCCAGGTGTTCCTAGAAGAGCTCCTCAACCAACAGGAACAACCAGAGCAGCAGCATTGGGGAAGCTTCTACAGGAGATTTTCAGCACCCACCCACACACCTGCCTACACCTCCTGCTTAGCTCTACCAGCAGCTAGCTTGGGGTTGAAGTGAGACTTGCAAAGAAACCTACTCAGGATAGGCAGGACAGCAGTGCTCCGTGGCTGGGAGGGCAGCCGGGCAGCCGTGGCGGCCTGGCGACCCACACGTCTGCCGGGGCTGTCATGGAGGCAGCATGTAGCAGTGAATTTAGCTCAACTGCTAGAGGCAAAGGATGTGTCTGTGATGCCAAAAGGTTCACCAGACAAATGGAAGGTGATTAATGTGGTGACAGCCCAGAGCAGACTGTCTTTGTCCTCTGCCAGCGAAGAGCAGCATCCACATCAGTGCTAGCCCTACCCAGCTGTGGGGTTCAGGTCATTCCTCCAGGGTCACGGAGGGAAGTGTCCCAGGGCTGCGGGTCTCCAGCCTCCGTTGTGGACACCACCCCATGCCTGCAGAGAGCCTATCTGCTGCAAGTGGAACTAACTCCAATAGTTGCTCTCCGAGGAGGTTCTGGACCCAAACAGCGTGAGCTACAGGCTGAGATTATCTGCTCTCTCTGAGCTCACCTCTACCTCTTGGGCCGCTCCCACAGCCGCTGAGTACCCAGCTCAGCAGAGGCCGCTGGGACCCGGCGCAGCGCCGCGCGTCTCGCTCCGCGCAGCCCCGCACGCCCTGCGCCGCCAGGCTCACCAGCGCCACGCTCCCCGGTGCTCGGCGCCCTCCACACTTACTCGGCAGGTTTAGCTGAGCCAAAGCGCTCAGGATAATCAGCACCCCGGCTTCGATTACAGGAAGAGATTCAAAGATCTGACAGCCTTGCCCTGGTTGTACCTTCACGACGGCGTGCTTGGCAGCGGGCTCATTCCTCGGGAGAGCGTTTCGAAAATCTGCTGGATTTCCTTCTCTGCACCCGGCAGCTTTCCTCTCCTCCCTCCTGGTACAGGTTACTCAGGCTAAACCCACTCAGTCAAAATGAAAACCAACCAGCTAGAACTGTTCTGCTAATGACAGTTTTCCACCTTCCTCGAGACTCTCCATTCCTTTCCTTCGGAGCGGCTGTAGGACAGGCCTCGGCAATATTAGACAGGCTGCGGTACGAGCCCAGGTTCTGTCACCCCCTTATTGAGCTCCGAGCAGCTCCTGCCGGGTTAGGAGACGCGAGCCTCTCAGTGCCTGCCCATTCCCCGCAGCCGAGCCCTGCTCCGGTGCTGCTGCTGCTCAACGCGGAGGCGGCAGAGGCCTCGTCTCCTCCTGCCCGGCTACCGGCGCGCCAGAGAGGAGGCGTCCGTGCACAGCGAGAGCAGCCCGACCTCAGGGCTCCTCTCCTGCACTGAGGACAAGTACGCCACAGGACGAGCAGGGCATTTAGATTTTAAGGATCTCTGGGAACTCTGATTGCAACAAACTCCCACTCCAGCAGCCTGTTAAATAAGGACAAAGCCCAGAATTTAGCCCAAAGCACCCGCAGATGATCAATGGGGAACTGGAGTAAGAAAAATGGGAGTCCTGCACTCACCAGCTCCCCCAGGAGGAAGCGCTTCCTACCCGAGACGCGATGGTGGTCACTCTGTGAGGGACGCCCCAAAGCATGACGGTGCTCTGCTGTCCAAGGCCACTTAGGCTGAGCCCGCAGGAGCCATCCTGCTCCTGCCTGCCCAGGATCGGGGCTCGGGGTGGAGCCTCCGCTTGGGCAGCCGGGGAACCTGTCCCCCCAGCAAAGCTGCTTGACTGGTAGGGAAAGGTAGGAGCGCAGCTCTGGGCACCCAGCAGAGCTGCTGGGCTGTGCTGGCGCCGCGGGCACAGGGCGCTGCCCCTGCTGCAGCCGGCCGGGCTGCGCGGCGCTGCAGCCCCGTGCCCCGTGCGCGGCCTGCGCCCGGCCCGCGGAGAACTGGGCTGCTCCACTAGACCGCTGCAGCGGAGGGAATGGCACGACGAGGCCTCCTGCTCCCCTCACAAGCAACAAGCCTGTCCTCAGGAGGCTGCTGGGCTCAGCAGCCCACACGCAGGCAAGCAGCGCTGCCGCAGGGACGGCAGCGTCCTCTCTATCTCACCCAGCCATCTCTCCTCCTCATTGACGGGCAGAATTCCCCTATGGCACCTTGGAAGCACCAACCCACACACGGAGGTAGGGAAGGACTCCAGACTTGGGCAGTATTCCTACCATGTCTATGGTCTGGGAATCACAGCACAGTACACTTGGGCGAGTGGAAAACCTGCTGGGGGGAGGCATTTCCCATAACTGGAGGAAGAATTTGCACTAATTGCACTGAATTCTGTGATCTCTCTGTACACAGCTAAACAATTAATCACATTCAAAGCATAGGGAGCTGTGCTGCCTGGAGAGGTCACGAGTCCTATCTGCAGAACTAGAAAACAGCTTGGAGAAGACCCAGAACAGCCCGTGCCAAGTTGTGCTGTTCCAGCCTGGCAAAGGGAAATCAGAAAGGCAAAAAAAAGCGAGGGCAGGAAAAGCAATAACCCGTCTGCCAACTACTGCTAAACAACCTACAGCAGGACAGGCCAAGCTCCCGGCTTCCAGCCCGCATCGCACTCTCCCAGGACACATTCCCAGGAGCGCTCCAGGCCTCAGGACACAGAATGAACCCAAGTAGCTCTGCCCTGGAACTTCACCACGAGGCAAGCGCCGGTGTGATGAGATGAGCGCGCACTCTGAGCTGCACGCTCATTCAGACTTGGGACAGGCTGGCCGGGGTAGGGGGTCCCCAAGATCACTTAAGGCAGGAACTGGTCACGGAGCAGAGGGTTCTGCAGGATGGCCAAGCCCAGCACCCGAGCTGGGCGGTCGCTGGGGGTTTCATGGAGACGGGACGGGCGGCCGGGCTGCTCCTGCGGCACCGGCGCAGAGGGAGCAGAGGCTGCAGCCACACGGCAGCCAGCTCCATCCCACCTGAGCAGGAGCTTCACAGGTGAACGTGATGGAGAAGCGAGCACTGTATCCAAGCTGGTCACAATCTGGTCTCGGATACAATGTGCTTTCTGTTTGGCTTCCTCAGTGGCTGGAGATCTGTGCTGAGGCACCACTGCATAGAGGACAGAGTTTTCCTGAAAGGAACATTTCCATAGTGATGAATGATATGCTATGTCTATGTCTTGCTGCTATGTCTAGACACAGTTTCCCCTCCAGGCCATTCCAGGATCCTGAAAAGACCAAGAAGAGGAGAACACAGACTCCCTGACTTCCCAATGGCAGTCTTCTCCAACCTTGAGAAAGGTTCAATCCCTTCTTTCCGAGCAGTGAAAGGCCTGACAGGGAAGGCGGGGTGGACAGGCAGCCCAAAGCAGCCTCTCAGCTGCGCTCTTGACCTGCCCACAGCAGAGACTCAACAGTCCCTTGAGACAGTTCCTTCTAGGAATGCTTTCAAGTAGCTCCAACATAAACACCACAGCCCAGCACTGGCTTTCCCAGCCCGCACCCAACCGCAGCAGTCCCAGCAGATCCGGCAAGAGTTTGACAGACTCTAGTTACTGCTCCGGGACTCTCCACTATTGGCTCTTCCCTTCTAGAAGTCTGGAAAAGGAGGCACTGACCTTGGCTCTGCCCTTTCCAGCAGTCACTTCCCCGGTGTCTTAATGGAGACAAACAAACAGGGATGTTTGGATTTAAGTGGCACTGCTGCTGCTGCCTCTTGTATCCACGCTGGACATGGTGACAGAGATGGCCTCAGCTCCCACAGGCCAGCCTCTCAAAGCGGGGCCTGCCCAGCCTCGAGAACAGCCTCAAAGGCCTCTGCTGCTGTGCTGTGCGCTGGCAGCTCCTGCCACACAAGGCCGGTGCCTTCAGTGTAAAAGGAAAACAGTCTGCACTTGAAATCCTGACGTTTCTTATTATTGCAAGGAGAATCTCAGAAAGCCCTCTGAAACGTGTCTTCTGTCACTCAGAGCCACACAAACTCAAGGAAAAAACCCTCTTGTCTGCGAGCAGAGCGAGTCCATGAAAGCTAGAGACCGCTCTGCTCCCTAAATTGTGAGAGGCACAAATATAAATGCAGGGGTTCTCTGACGGTTGGGGCCACAAAGATCTTTCACAGTGCAGGATCCAGAGCTGACGGCAAAACCACCGAGCAGGGACCTGGAGAGGCCGGCAGCAGCAGAGCAGCGACCCCAGCGTGTCCCCATCAGGATGAGATCCCACCAGGATGTCAGGATGAGATCCCACCAGGACACCAGGGTGAGATCCCACCAGGACATACGAGCGCTGCGGTTCCTGCAGCTAGCAGTTAGCAGTTGTGCTAACTCGGGGCCTGGCCAGGCTGCTCTCCGAGGAGGACACGCGGGGAGCTCCCCACTCAGCAACTGCTCTCAGGGCTTCTCACCTGCTGTGCCCAACTCCAGGCTCTGGCCAGTGCCACCCAACACAGCCACCACGGAGGGGCTCTCGGAGAAGGGGCCTCACAAGAGATTTCCAAGACAAGACGGGTTGCTTTCAGCCCCAGGCAAGTCTCATGCTTCCCAAGGGAACACAACCGTCATTTCCAGAGCTTGGATGAAGGAGACAGCTATTAACACTGGAGCAAAAAGGGAGGCAACAGTTCAGATACTCGCCCTCTGGTCTCAAACTGAGTTCTCTAGCTCCCTCCGGACACCAGAAGGGATCTCCCTCCTAATTCACTTGTCCAGGAGCAGCTGTTTCTACTGCAGTACCCTTTTTCTCAGCATAAAGAATCATTTTCTTATACTGACAAGAGCATGTGAAAGGATAATCTGGGCCCCATTTCACACGGGGAGTCTGTCTACCTCCCTGTTGGGATTCAAAGTGTTTGGAAGGGGGCTGGAAGAGCTGTAATTCAAGTATTACTCTGAACAGAGCCAGGAAGAGCTGTGGGTTGACGGGGGCTTGGGTCCCAGAGCACCGGCCCTTCCTCACGACCAGGGCTGGTGCCTGCTTTGGAGATGAGCGAGCTGCGACCATGCTTGGCTGGGCTGCCCTGGGAAAAGAGCAGCCAGAAACCTGCAGGGGAACTGGACTGCGGGAAACGGCAGGACAGCCTCCCCGGGAAGCTCTGGGAAGCGGAGCGGCGGCTCCCTGCGAGCCCCCGTTTCCTGCCAGCGGGTGAGCCTCCCCACGCGGCGCAGCACAGGAGCAGTCTCCAGAGAAGGCCACGCTGAGCTCACTTGCAACAGAGAGCAGGAAGAGCAGCAGAAAGAGCGGGCCGGCGAGGGAGAGGTCCTGGCCGGCACGTAGGCCGAGAGGGTGGAGGGGAAGGGCTGGTGCTGCAGCACAGAGGCCAGGGTCACGCTGGCCGAGGCTGTGGAGAGCGCGGTCCAGTTGCGCCGCACAGGTTTCCTCAGTATCAGTGAGCGCAGCAGCTCCAACAGTGCTGACAGAAGGCACGAGAGAGGGAGACTGGGGAAAAGAGAAAGCTCGTTAAAGGCAAGAACAACCACAGGTTCCACCGAGAGAAGGACTAACTCCCTTCTCCCAGCTCTCCACGGCACGTGCTTGCAGGAGGCCCCTCTGGGGGACCACGCGGCTCTCTTCTGGTCTTCCATCTATCACAAGGTGACAGGCACAAAGAGAAGAAAAACAAATCCTTTGTATTGCTGTTCAAGACAAAAGCTAAACTGTCTCGAGTGCAGGTACCTATAAAGATGTCAAACGCTACCAACAGCCCTTAACATATTTGCCTTCTGTTTACACAGCTGTATTCCTGCTTAGGGAAGAAAGAGGACGTGCTTGCGCTGTCTTTGGAGGAAAATGCAGCCAACGGAGCTGGCAAATTTGGTGTGCTTTTGCTGTTATTAGACCATACAGCCTAGCGAGGACCTCAGACCCTACCTGGGGAGCAAACACTTTGGGCGCAGCTCTTCTCTCAGTATTTTATGAGCTAGTGAAGGGCAAGAAATCTCTCCCAGGATTTGCCTTGGATACGGAAACCCTTCTCAGCACAAGCAGAGCTCGCTGCCCCCTGCTCAGTGACTAAAAGCACTGGGTGTGCAGTGAAGCAGCTCTGAACCTCCTGCGTGCACGGAAACAGCTTCTGCAGGCAAATGCTTCCAGACTGCTATTGTGGGCACCCGCAAGAGCAGCACGAGCCCAGGGGGCCCCGTGGGCTCCCAGGTGAGGGGCTGCTTGCACCTTCCCCAGTACTTGTCCCTCAGCAGGGCTTGTTTCAGGCTGGAAGTGTCCCCAGGCGGCTGCCACAGCTCTAGAGCAGGAACGAGGCAAGAGGAGGATTCCTTCCGATTTCCCTGGCTCGTGGGAGGACTGATGGAGATGGCCAAGACACTGTCCAGAGGCAGTAGGACTGATAACAGCAAAGCAAAGCAAAACAAAGCAAGCCCCTGCCCCACTTTGCATCGTTCCCCGTCCTCCTACATAAGAGGGCCTGATCCCCGTGCTAGAGACAGGGAATGTTGGCTGAACACGTCAGAGGCAGAAGGAACTACCTCTGCGCGGGGATGAGGGTGCAGGGACAGACGCGGCCGCTTCCTGGAGGTCACGTTCCCTTTCTGCGAGCCGGAGTCATAAACAACTCGGATCCCACAGCACTCAGGTGTTTTATGCCCGTTCAAGGCTCCTGGACTCCTTTGGAAACATGCAGTTTATGAATGGTCACACTGGGCACACCATGCCCAGAGAGCTGCTAATAACGCTGCATCGTGGTGACGAGGAAAAGCTGGTCAGACACTCTGCTCCTCGGCCTGCCAGGCTGAGGGAGCCCGTTAGGGAGCTCGAGGCAAATCCAGCGTCCCGTGGAAGGGCTCATCTGTGGTCACCGGTTGGGCCTAGAGGGAACCGGGCAGTTGGAGCTACCCGGGTCCAGCTTAGGGCGTTTTCTCCCGCAGGGCAGGGATCATGCTCAGGATGGAGCGCAGGGCAGCTGCTCGTGGGGCAGGATGCACCAGCAGCACCATGGGCACCAGCAAAGCACTGGGCTCCTTTGGGGTTACCTCGTGTGCGTCACTGGCCTCCCCCAGGCAAGCAGCTCTGCAATGAAGGGACAAGCTCCTTGCAGAGGGCAGGGGACAAATGACAAACCTCACTCCACTGTTGTCTAAAGCAGAGACCCACCATCCTGTGAAGCTCTCACCATTTTGATCTCGCGTTTTCACCTCTGCCTCCCTACGCTGGTGGAGAGCATTGCGGCTGCAGAGGCCGCCCGCAGGTCCAGCCTGCTGCAGAACGGGACCCAGGTGCTGCAAGGGGACAAGGCGGGACAGGGAGCAGCGACACGGGCGCCACGAGAGCCGGCTGTGCTCCAGGCTCTGCCCTGGCCCTTGGGTGCCCCACGGCCCCTCGGGTGACTCAATCGCAAGCCCTTCGCGCCATGTTCCCATTAGGGAGCGGGAGCTGCGGCTGGCGCAGGACGAGGCAGCATGCCCCGCTGCACGGGGCAGCGTGGCCCCAGGCGGAGGCCGGGGAGACTCGTGTGCTCTTGGCGGCAGGGGTCAGGGAGGGGATGCCTTGGTGGAGCTATTTTGACTTGGACCTGGCAAAGTTTCAACACAAGAAAAGCTCAATTGTTGTCAGACTAGTTTGAGCGTAAGAAAAGCTCTTGGCCAAACAAAATAGCATCCAGTTATTGTTCTTTGACTGAGGCGCTGCTGTGAGTGCGTAGCTGCGCTCTGGCCCCTCCAGCCCCACATCCCAGTGCTGGAGCTGGATGGTGGCGGCGGCGGCCGAGGCCTCCCCTACCTGCCCGTGTCCGGCTTCTTCTCAGCCGCGCAGTCGCCCTTGCCGCGCTCCAGCTCCTGCAGCAGGGCTGCCTGGACAGGGGTGCTCCTGCCGTCGCTGCTGCCGCTGCCCCTGTGCTGCCGGCGCTGGCACTCGGGCTGCGAGCCGCGTTTCATGGCCTGGAGTTGGGCCAGGGGCACGATGTCGCAGCCCTGCGGCCGGTGCCACACCGTCTGCCGCGTGAGGGCATTGTAGTAGTAGAAGCGGTTGTTGTTCTGGTCGAAGAGCTCCCACCACTGCTTCTGATCCGACTGGCGCACCTTGAGGTTGGGCGGCGGGTCCCAGCCGCACTCGCCCGTCGTCAGGTTCACGTACATGCGCTCCTGCGAGCGGGGCTCGATGATCTCCACCCAGTCCGAGCTGCGGGCAAACAGAAGCCGCGTTAGTCTGGGCCGCCCTGGCCACCGGGAGCCCCGCGGCTGCTGCCTGCCCCTGCACGAGGCGAGACGCTCGAGACCGGACGAGCTGCCGCCCCAGCGCTCCCCTGGGTCACCCAGGCGCCCTGCACACCCTGGGCAAGGCCGAGGAAAGGTTTCACATTTGGGACAAGTTACAGCAAAGCCGAAGCCTCTGCTGCGCCCGGCCCCCCCGAATGGGCCACGCACTCACTGGGCAGCCCCAGCAGCTCCGCGCCGAGGCCTCGGCCGGGCGCGCTGCTCATGGAGGGAGCCGCTCCGGAAAGGCAGGAGGGCGGGAAAGCCAACGTCCCGCCGCGGGCTGGTGGCATCAGCCGTTAACCGGCCTGCGAGGTCAGCACGCAGCTCACGGGAGGTGCCGGGGTGCAGCTGCAGCGGGGATGCTCTGCTCGCCCGCACCAAGGCCACCGCGCAGCTGCACGCAGGAGGCGCCGGGCCCTCCCCGCAGGCCCCGAGCTCACCGCCGCGGCAGCAACACGAGCAGTGCCAGCGCGGCCCGCGCTCCTCGGAGGCACCGCAGATTACGAAGAGCAGCAGGTCGCCCCCCAGGCCCACACAGCTCCTTCTGCAGCCCAAGGCTCTGCTGAAGTGAGAGGAGTCTGCACAAGCCCAGGTCCCAAAAGGGAAAGCGCCAGCCTAGAAACGAAAAGGCTCTCTGCAAAAACCTGGAGGGAGTGACTGGACGAACCTCGCTGCATCTCGAGCTCTTCACTTTCCCCCTTGGCAGCCACACTGCTCCAGGGAGAGAATCAACGGCCCCAAGGGACCCTCTGGGCATGGCAGGGAGGTGGAGGACAGGCACGACCGCAGCCTCGCCCTGCTGCCCAGGCGCCGCGGGCTCGCGAGAGCCGCCGCGGGCGGCACCGAGTCGCGCCGGGCACCGCGGGTGCTGCGAGGGCAGCAGCCACACGGACCAGGACCGCTGATCCACAAGGTTCACAGCGTTGAAAGCGGGAGGGAGGACAACACGTAGTGAGCAAAAATCCCATCAATTCCCCATTTGCAGTGCAGCACAGGGGCTGTTCATGCATCTCAAATACACGGTGGACTCTTGCACTAATCCATCTGCTCAGTCTGTGAAGGCCCGGGAAGTTTCTCCCTTTGCTCCCGGTGCACTGTGGTTTCTGGTCTGCCAGAGCCCAAACCACAGCCCGGTTTGGGCACTAGCCAGGAGGCCCTGGCCTGCACAGGAGGGTGGCTGCGGGCAGAGGGGCGCAGGAAGGTGCCGGCGTGGGAGGAGGCCTTGGACATGGAGCTCCATCTCCGACCAGCTGCTCCAGCAGGGCTGCCCAGGCTCCAAACGGAGACGAACCCCACGCGCAACCTCCACAACCCGCAGCCCTGGCTCTGCACCCTGCTCGCCGCGGGGTATTTGTGTTCTTAATAAAAGCCGCATGAAGTGGAGGGGACGAGCCCAGCGCTCCCACCCGCCGCCACAAGGACACGCGGGGACGCAGCTGCCGGCTGCTCCCTCCCACAGCACCGCGGCCGGAGCCCAGGGCACAGCAGCTGTTCCCGGAGGGGAGGCAGGATAAGGGAGACCCTGGTGCGCCTGTCCCCGCTGCCCTGTGCCCATAGTCAGGGAATGCGGGGACAGCCCTGCACCCAGACCCCAGGGAACGTGGGGACATCCCTGAATCCAGACCCCAGGGAACACGGGGACATCCCTGCATCCAGACCCTAGGGAACGTGGGGACAGCCCCGCATCCAGACCCCAGGGAACGCGGGGACATCCCTGCACCCAGACCCCAGGGAACGCGGGGACAGCCCCGCACCCAGACCCCAGGGAACGCGGGGACATCCCTGCATCCAGACCCCAGGGAACGCGGGGACATCCCTGCATCCAGACCTCAGGGATCGCGGGGACAGCCCCGCACCCAGACCCCAGGGAACGCGGGGACAGCCCCGCATCCAGACCCCAGGGAACGCGGGGACATCCCTGCATCCAGACCCCAGGGATTGCGGGGCGGCCGCTCTGGTGTGGGGCCAGCCCGTGGTGCCACACGTTGCACCCCGCAGGAGCGGGGCGCGGGGCGCCCGTCCCGGGTGGCCGCTCTGCGAGCCCCACGCTCGGTGCTCAGCCCTGCCCAGCCGCGATGCAGCCCTTGCTCTCCTGCCCTCTTTCTGGAGAGGGTCAACGTGCCTGCTCCCGTTTGCCGAGGCTCTGAGGGAGCTTGAGCACCTTCCCTGTAAAACAGCCTGCTCCTCCACCCCTAGGAGGTGCAAGATTGGGAGTTGCAAATTCTGTTTAACCCAAGTAAATCTGCACGGCCTCTGCTGCACTAGGTTAACATCTGGGCCTGATCACTGCCAGCCTGGGCTGGGAGCTGGCTCCAGAAGTCACGTTTTGGCTGGACAGGTCATTTTTCAGGCAGATCCATTCATAGAGCAGCCCAGTCCCCAAAAGGGCAGCAGCAGCAGCATAACGGGCACGTGGGAGCGCGGCAGAACTGCCTTCATCAGCACGGGGACTCCTGCCAGGTTTGCACGACCGCTGCCCGGGCTGGCACGAGCTCTGCCAGGAGAGACCCGGGAGCAGAGCGGCCTCCCAGAGTCACGCGCCGCAGTGACTGTGGGAGTTAAAACCGGAGTCGCTCCTCAGTTTGCTGGAAGGCGCAACACAGAGCCAGCCGTACCAGGTACCACGGCTCCGGGATGGGAACCTCTCCCTATCCCGGTATTTCCAACAGTCGTAATGCCAAACTGCACTCACAGGAGAAGGAACAAACTGGCAAGTTCCTCCTGCTTTAAAAGCCACTGCAAGCACTTGTAAACAGCACATAAAGGAGGAACACGAGGGCTGCAGGAACCGAGCATCACAGTAGTACTGGAGGGAGCATGGGAGAAGAGCACATCCCAAAAGGTGGCAACAACAGCAAAGTCCAGTTAGGATCGGGTATCAGAAAAGAAGGTCTGATGGACAGTTAGAGGAGCTCAAAGAGGGCACAAATGGGGCAGGGACCGCTGTGGGCATCAGAAACCTCCAGGAGAGCAAGCACAGTCAAATGGAAAAGAGGGCAGGGGTAGAAGGGTCTGAAAAGCAGGATCCACTCCGGGCAGCGCAGCTGGCAGCTTCTGGTGGAGGGAGGCGGCTTCCGTCCCTGGAAGGAGAGGAGATTCTCCGGATTCTCGAGGTGGAGAGCAGGACACAGCGCCCTGGGGCGCGCGGCGGAAGGGAGGAGGGCGCGTTGGAAGGGCCGGGGCGGAAGGCAGCGCCGCGACCAGAGCACTGCACGTTAAGAGCGCAGCGCTGCTGCTCTGCGCCAAGCTCAGCTCCGGGGCAGCGAGCCGCTCCGGCGGCGCCGCTCCTCGGCGCACAGCAGAGCTCACCGATTTTCTGTTAAGTGCAAGCTGCTGAAATAACCAACTCTTCTCGTGGCACTCGGCCACGGCCAAGTGCATGTTGCTAACTATAGTCTTCCGCTTTAACCAGCTTATATCTATCTTTGCGTGCAAAGCTGCCTAAGTGGATGACTTGGGTCTGTGACCTCTTTGCTCCCCTTAAAAATCGAGAGTTTAAGGATTATCGAGATGCGGTTTGACAAGGGGAAAAGTCTGCAGAGAACACACTGAAACACCAAGGAGTTTGGCACATTCACATGTAAAGCAAGCAAAGGAAAAGCAAGGAGCACATTCCTGGAGCGAGGCCAACGCTGGGCTGCCACACAAGCTCAGGACGTAACGTCACGAACTCTGGGAAGATGTGATAAACTCAGGATTTGAGAGAGATAAGACCACGACTTTGGCATTAAAGAAAAAAGACTAACTCAAATGCAGCTTAATGGAGAAAAAGAAGACATGCCCCAGCACCAGCAGGAATGCGATTTTTCCATCACCCTCTCTGCTTCAAGCACCAGATAAGGTGGAAGCCATTGACGTTGCCTGATCCGCAGCTGCCCCGTTTCCATCCCTCCCCAACAGGCAGCTCTGTCGTTACCTTCCGACGGGATCACTGAGATGTTCTCAGTCTGTATTTCTGTTCTCTTGGGACAGCGTGTCTGTGGACATGGGACTTCCCACGGCTGGCAGACCAGAGCAAACCTGAGCCGGCTCCTGCGCTGCTCTTCTCGGGCATGCTCGCACCCACAGTCGTCCTTCCCGGACGCGGGGACCGGGACGAGCAGAGCGACGCTATCTCACCCGGGACACAGAACTAATCAGAGCGCTCGCGCCGTCACCAGAGCCCGGGGCTGGCCAGAGAGGAGGAATTTCAGAAAAATCCCCGCTTGCTTCTGAAAACAAAAACACATTCCCAGCGTGCAACCTCCCTTATTGTCCGAGCGATCTCAGAAGTTTCCTTTGTATCCTAAGTAAATACACAAATACTTTCCAAGGCTTGCAGCTCTCGTAAATAGGCCCCGGCTCCAGCTGCTTGCTCTGGAACAGCCTCAACCTGGCCAAGCGCAAAGGCATCTGCCCTGGGCGCGCTCCCGCTCCCGCACGCAGGGTGCAGCGAGAGCTGCTCCCCAGCAGCTCCACTCCTGCCTTGCGTTACTCTACAAGGGGGGTTGCAGACACTGTTAGGCTTAAGCAGAAAGGGGACTCGCTGCACAGATGCCCCGCCGGCAGACACGCACCCTTCTCCATCTGCTTTCCCACGCACCGCAGAAGGGCTCGGGGCAGCTCCCAGAGCAGCAGGAAGTCGTTATTTGACTTTTTTCCTTGGCAGGGCCGGAAGGGAAGAGCAGCGTTTCGTGTGCTCCAGAGCTGCACTCACCTCAGGGCTCAGCTGGCCCCTCACAGGCTGCCTCTTTGATTTTGAAAGGGATTTTATAAATGGATAAAAACTAAGGTTGCCGCTCTCGGTCCTGCCAACATCCACAGCAGGTTTTATTTGTGTTTGTAGACTTTGTTCTTTTAAAAAAACAAAGAGTTGAGGTTGGATCCCACCCGTCTGCCCCTCCTGCATGGCCCTGGTCAGCAAAGCCCAGGAATGAAACCATGAACAAAAATGACACAACTTCCAAAGGGCTCTCTCAGCGCGGGGGAGCTCCGGGTGGCTCGCGTGCCGCAGCCCCGTGGCCAGAGCCCAGGACGGGGCGGCTGGAGCGGGGCGGCGGGCAGCCCCACAAGCAGGATGGCACCTTGGGGAGACCTGGCGCGCCGGGACGCGCGGCAGCCCCTGCCGCAAGCGCGGGAACAGAGCCCAGCTCTAGCCAACACTGTGCCGTGCGCTGCTCGGGGCCTTCCCCTGCTCATCAGCCTCCCGAGCTGCTGGGTTCGGATGAAAGCAGCAGCTCAAGGA